TCTCTGTCTCTCTCTGTCTCTGTCTCTCTCTGTCTCTGTCTCTCTCTGCCTCTGTCTCTCTGTCTCTGCCTCTCGCCCCCTGTTCTCTATTTTTCTGAGTAGCAGCCTTCACTTCCTGCCTGGTGACCCCTGGCTTCTGACGGACGTGCCCCGAGTTCAGTGAACCCAGTCCAGTGATGTGTGGGTTCGGTTCCTTGTCCCAGCTTCGGGAACCTCCTTGGGCCCTGTCCCGTGATGGTGCCACTGCCGATGTCCCTGTCGCCTGTACCCAGGGTGGCCGACCTTCCACGCGGCCACCTTTCCTTCTTTTGTGGCCAGAGCTCTGCCACCTGGGGAGTGAGTGGAGTCCACGGACTCACTGTTCTCTAGAGGACTTGCACAGTGTCCGCAGGGGAGGGAGCTGGAGAGCAGCAGCAGCCCGGTGTGGGGCATGGGGCAGAAAGGCTGTGCGGGGTGTGACACTCACCCCAGTGCTGATCTGTCCTGGGCTGATCTCATCCTCAGCCTGGCTCCTGTCAGGGGTTGGCCAGGTCCCTCCGCTGGCACAGGTGGAGGAACTTACTGACTTGACCAGAAGTGATAGCCTGGAGGGTATGACAGTCAGGGATGCAGGGGACGCAGGGGCCAGCATGGCGTCCCTACGGGAAGGGGCTCGGGCCTGCTCAGAGGGAGTGGCGTTTCCGGGTGGGTGCAGAGGCTTCCTGCAGAGCTGGCTTTGAGCTGGTCTGACAGGGACAGGGATAGGAATGAGGGCAGGGATGAGGGGGCCGGGGATGGGACAGAGGGCCAGGGGAGGACGGGTGCAGACAGATCTTGTGGAGCAGACAGAGCCTCTAGGCCCCACTGTTCCCCCCCCCTCCTGCGTGTGCAGGGCTGCGCTTCGGGGTCCCAGTGAGCCCAGGAGATGGGCATCCCCCCGCCCGGGACAGGCTGGGGGCAGGGCTGGCTGCGGGGAGCTTGGGCTTAGCTGGGCAGCTGAGGGCTCCGCGGGTCCGGGGCAGCGCCGCAGTGGCGCTGTGGCTGGAGCCAGGGTCAAGGCGGGGCTGCAGGTGGCCCTGACCCTCCCGTGGGGTGGAAGCTCCGCAGCGCTTGGCTCCCGTGGGCCGGGACTGCAGCGGCACTGGTTTCACTGTGTGGTGTGCTGGTCACGTTTGTTCGGTGGGTGTGAGTGGTCCCTGAGGAGACCTCGGGACCGTGGATCTTACCCCACGGCCCTTGGGCCGGAGCCTGGCCCTGTCGGCCCTGCCCTTGGGCACCACGAGGGTGCGACTGGGGGCTGCGGGGCGCGCGTGGCCTCGGGCGCAGAGGCCCTCTAGGGCCTGTCCGGTCTCCTCTGCAGCTGACTCCTGCCTCTTACCCAGTCCTCCTCCAGACGCCAGGGGCTGAACAGCGCCAGGTGGACTGAGAGGCATGGAGAGGGGACAGTGGATGCGGCCCCTCCGCCAGGCCTGGCCGGAGCCCAAGCACGGGACACGCTGCCCGGCTGGTGCAGGAGGATGGGGCCCTTCTCTGTGGGAGGCCCTGCATCCCCTTTGCAGAAAGATGGGCTCCAGAGAAGAGGACCCCGCTCTGGAGAGGGTGGTGACCAGCCGATGACAGCATCGCCGCAAGCTTAGTGCGGAGGGAAGGGCTCCGGGCCTGGGATCGGCAGGGCCCCGAGGTCCAGAGGCCGGGTGCTCACTCCTGACCTGACCACCCACAGTGCCCAGAGACACGAGAGGCCGTGGAGAGCAGAAAACAGCTCGACAGGAGCGAGCAGCTGGCCAGAGGGGTCACAGCGACGCGGGAGTCCCGGGAACGGAGGCCCCCGGGAGCTGCTGGCCACTGTCTCGAGGACCCCGGAGAGGAAGGGCCGCCTGGCTGGCTCGGCTTCCAGCTCCCGCGTGCGAGGCGCTTGCTGTGCCCCGGGCGCACGTCTGTTTCCGTGTGGGAACCAACTGAGCCTTGCAGCAGCACTGCCCTTCTTCCTTCCTTCTTCTTCTCTGGTACCAGGGATCAAATCAGGACCTGGCGCTGGCAAGGCAGGCGGGTGCCACTGAGCTACATCCCCAGCCCTCCTTCCTTCTTCAATGGTACTGTGGATCGAGTTCAGGGCCTTCACACCGAGCTACATCTCCAGCCCTTAAAACATTTCCGTTATTTTGAGACAGGGTCTCACGACGTCTCCCAATTGCCCACGTTGGGCTTGATCCTCCAGCCTCAGCCTTCCAGACGCTGGGGTCACAGGCCTGGGCCACCACCTCGGCCACTTGTGGAAGGGTCACTGTTGCGGCTCTCCAAGCACTTCCGACTGAGGTGCCCGGATTTCTGAAGGATCTGGGTGCCCAAAGTCCTGGGACCCCCCTCGCCCGGGGAGGGCGCCTGAAGGGGCCCTGGTGCCAGCCGAGGGTCCCTGGAGCGGCAGAGTTGCCCAGGCTCGGAGGGGTCCGTGGGGGTCCTGGGAGGGGCGCGCATTTGGAGGAGGTGGGGTCCCCGCCGCTGGGTGAGGACGCACGAGGCCGGACGCCGGGCCCTCTGGGGGCGGCGGCTCCTGCAGGTCTGGGACTATGCCGGCCCGGGCGGGACAGCCGCACAGGTGCTCCCAGGCGGGCGGGGCTCTCCGGCCCCCACCCCGGGCTGGCTCAGGGCCTCCCCCGTCAGCCGCAGCGGCTGACCCTGTGCCGCCTCTCTCACCGAGTCACGCGCGGAGCCCTGACCCCGCATGCCAGGCCGACCGCACCTCGGGCTCGGGGAGGCCGCTCCGGGTGTCTGGGTGCAAGCGGCCACAACCTGCAGGAGGTCGGTGTGCGGAGCTGAGGCGGCCTCCACTTCCAGCCCAGTGCGGGCAGACCCACTTGGGCCGGGTGGTGGGCGCTGGACACGAGCTGCCCCGAGCAGGACGCGGGGAGCAGCCTGCGGGCACCGGTGCCGGCGCTCGGACCCCTTCTGACCTGGCCTCAGCTTCTGCGTGCCCAGCCCACCCCAGATAGACACCCGGTGGTCTTCGCTGACCTCCATTTGCTCGTTGCGTGACTGGTTTCTCTCTCCGAGGCAGGCCCTTACCAGGCTGCCACCGGAGCGGCACGGACCCCAGGCTGCACCCGCCCCCCCAGTAGCGTCCTGGGGTCGGTAGTTGGGCTGTAGGGCCTGGGACACCTGTGAGCTGTGTCTTCCTTAACCCCTTCACAAGAAGCCCTTCCTGAGAACAGCTCTGCCACGGAGGCAGGAGCAGCCACCCCACCCTGCCCTCCTGCCCCGCCCAGAGCAGCTCGGGTCCCACTGGCGCTGTCCACGCAGGTCTCTGGTGCTTTTTCTCCTTCGCTCCCCACCCCATCAGCTCTGCAATTTCCACATGGGCCGGGAGGGGGCGCGCTCGCTGCACCCCGTTTTGTCACCGCATGGCGTGGCCCTGGCCCGGAGCTGAAGACCGCAACCTGCGGACGCCCGGCTCCGCCCCACCCTCCAGCGAGAGGGTGACTCCCTGGCCTCATCCCCGCCAGGGCCTGTGGCTTCTAAGCTTCGGAGGAGAACCCGATGCGAATCCTGCTGTGGCCACGCTGCCTCCCCATCTTCATCAGCAGCCGCAGCAGACGTCACCGAGAATCTGCTCGGCCAGGATGAGGCCAGAGCGGGTTCAGGCCGTCTCCTCCCGGTCTACACTGCGAAACTGACAGGCCCACAGGCCAGCGCAGTCATCAGCTCACTGACTTCAAGAGAAACGTCCACGAGTTCCAAGCCCTGGGTGAAACATTAGTGACACGTTTATTGCAGTAGATGGCAATGCTTGTTCCATTTCACTACTGGTTACCGCTCTTCATCTCTCACTAGAAATTCCATTTGACCCAGCTCTTCCCCTCCTTGTGTCTTCCAGAAAGACTTGAGCAGTGATCCCTGCACAGCTATGTTCACAGCAGCACAGTTCACAGTGGCTCAGCCGTGGAGGGGCCTATGTGTGCATCGACAGACGTACGCACAGAAATGCAGTGTTTATGCACAAAGGAGCACTACTGCCATGAAGGTGAACTCAGTTACCTGTAGGTAAGTGGGTGCCTTGAGACCGAAATGGGAGGCAAAGTAGCTCAGTCACAGGAGCTTAAGCCCTGCTCACCCACCAAGCCCTGACCACCCCCCTGCCCAGGGGAGGCCTCGGGTCCAGGCCACAGCGACTCCTGGCCACGGGCCTCTTCCAGACAGCTTTCATCAGCGGGCACAGAATGCAAGTCAGGCAGCTCCTCTCCAAGGAAGGGAGCCCGGAGACAGAGACAGCCAGGGCCGTTCACAGCAGACACAGCACGGGGGGAGCGGGACAGAGCAGAGCGAGGTCCCCAGCCAGGTGCCGCTGGCTCTCTACGCTCACCAGACTCAGGCCAGGCAAGCAGTGGGGTCCCAAGGCACGGAGCAGGCTGTGCCCAGCGAGGCTGGTGTCCCCTCTGCATGCATCGGGCCCTCCCTGCTGTTGGGGAGCTGGGCGGTCGGAGCCCCCGCTGCCCTGTGTGAGGGCCGGAGGGTGACACAGGAAATCCTGAGCCCAGGATGCCAGCCCCACCTGAGCCCTGGCTCCAAGCAGGGAGCTACAGTGGGAGGGTCTCGCAGCATCGGGAGCCTCAGACCCTGGTGGTCGCAGACAACAGGGCCCTCCTTAGAGAATACCTGTGACTGAGTTCTGAGTTGCTCACCGGCTCTCCCTGCCAGCCCCAGCTCTGTGCCCCAGCAGTGTTGAGGCAGCTCACACCTGTGGGGAGGGCCACACTGGTTTGTCATCCTCTCCATCCACCACCATCTGAAGGTGGGCGTCTCTCTCACTACTTCGGAGCCTCAGCGCACACAGACATTCAGATACCCATGGATCAGGCACAAAGCAAGGGACAGACTGCGTGAGTTTTCCTTTCCACATCTAATTGGTTAAGCTACGCTGGCCCCGCAGGCACCGTCTCTGGCTCAGGACAGGTCCATGACGGTGCTGTCGCCGAGGTCGATGCCAGCGTGCACCTTGCCACCCTTCACAGCCGCCCAGGGCATGGAGGCGGAGGTCCACTTTGCCACCCAGTGCCCTGTCCTGCTGACCAGGATGAGGCCGCCCAGGGCTTTGAGCTTCGACTTCATGTAGCCCAGCGCCAGCTCCGCAGCCTCTTCCACCGTCTTTCCTGGGGAGGGAAGGTGGGAGAGGGGTTCGGTCACAGGGAGCCTGACGGGAGGGCAGGGTCAGGCTGCGGGAGTGCCCAGCAGTGTCTCTGCAGAGGCTCCGCCCCTCCACCCCCGCCCAGCTTCCCAGCGCCCACCCTGGGCCTGCGCACCTTGCTCCAGGTGGAACAGAGCAAGCCGGGCCAGGTTCACCTTCAGGATGCTCTCTCCGTGTCCCGTGGTGGACACGGCTCCGATGCTGTTGTCGGCGTAGCCTCCGGAGCCTGCCCAGAGGGGAAGGGTTCTCACCCAGCAGCGAGGCTCACGAGATGAGCCCCACGCAGCCCAGAGTGAACCCCAGTGCTGGGGTGTGGGGCTTGGGATGCCGAGGAGGAGGAGGAGGAGGAGGAGGAGGAGGAGGAGGAGGAGGAGGGGGAGGAGGAGGAGGAGTGAGCAGAGGCAAATCCCGGGCGGCGGGGCAGGGGACCTCTCACCTGGCAGCACTGGGCCAGCACCTCCACCTCCTGTCCCTCAGGGCAGTTCGTGCTGCCCACCCACACCTACCACCTAGGCCACCTGCCTGCCCTCTCTGGACACCAAGAAGCTGGGGAAAGTGGCCGCCCCTGTCACGAGCAGGTGCAAAAGCCCCCAGGTCTCAGCGTTCCGAGCTGGGGCTTTCGGAACCCGACTGGATCATGGGGCTGGAAAATGAGGGCATCATCTGGCTGACAGGTGGGGCTGCCTGTGCAGGGCCAGGGTGTCCAGGGAGGGAAAGCCCAGGCGGGGTCTGCAGGGCGCTGGACGGGCCGCGGATGTGCACTCCTGTGGGGAAGGTGGCCTCGGTCCCTGGTCTCACACAAGCTTCTGCTGCAGGAGGAAGTGGCCGGACTCCAGGTGCCCGGAGACCCTGGCACAGGACCCAGGTTCCCTTCCCTTGGGCTCCTGGAGCAGTCCTGGCCTGGGCTGAGGCTCCACCCCAGCCAGGCGGGTGGGCCAGGGTGTCCCCGAAGGGCCTCCGGGCCAGGACCCGGGCTTTGGGGAATGCAGCTCGCGCCTTTTCTCTCGTGACTTCACACTGGCACTCCAGGAGTTTGTGGCCTGTTTCTAGCACCGACCCAGACCCAGCCAGTGGCAGCTGCACCAGAGCCAGGCCCAGGCCAGGGCTCCCGCTGTACGGGGGGGGGGGGGGCGGATATGGGTCCACACCTGGGCGTGAGGATTTGGACCCTCGGGAGGAATGGGAGGAGAGGGGCTGTGGCTGTGATGGAGGGGAAGGGGCGGGCAGGCGCGAAGCCCAGTCCCACCTACGCAGGGCGAGTCCCCGACTCGGCCACACATCTTGTTCACGGTGCCCCCTGTAGAGGTCGCGTAAGCCACGTCTCCTCTGCAGTCCAGAGCCACAGCACCCACAGTTCCCAAGTTTCTGCCACAAAGAAACAGGAAAGCTCCAGGCTGAGAAGAAACTCTCCCGACAGTGCCCACGGGGCTCAGCCCCTCCAGTGTGCGCTGTGTGCGCTGTTTGCGGCCCCAACACTGCAGACTCCCGAGCCTCGACTTCCGGCCCCACACACACCGAGCCTGCTGCAGGAGGGGCCCCACGTCCTCCTGCCCCCCACCCGAGTGTGCACCCCAGCCACAGCACCACCTCGAGCCGGGGCCTCGGAGCGGAACCGACTTGCTGCCCCCGTTAACAGCTGGTGACACAGGAGCCCACCTCCAACTCCGGCACTCGGGAGAACCTGTGGACACCTGGGCCCAGCCTCTGAGGCTCCCCAGGAAGAGAGAGACGCGACACGCTGGCGGTGCAGGGCAGGCCCAGCCCTGTGGTGCCGAGGTCCTGGCAGGGCTCCCAGCTGCCCATTCACTGGCCCCACTGAGAGCCTGTCTCTCGGGTTGTGGGGAAGATGCAGTAAGCGAATTTTCCCATTGACATTTTATCATGAGTCTGCAGATAAAAGGTGGCATCACTGGGCACCAACACCCACTCCCCTCCCGGCCCCGAGTGAATCGTCCTGGACGCTGGTCACAGCAGGAAGCGACAGGGACCCAGTCCCTTCTCCCGCACAGCTGCATGAGGGGCCCAGGGGCAGCAACAGGGCCAAGAAAACTTCAGGCGGCAACAGCATGGAGCAAAGAAAACAGGAGGAGAGAGAGGGGAGCCCCGGGGCGCACAGCAGGCCAGCAGCAGTGGGGTGCGGCTCTGGCCAAGGCCCCAGGAAGGGAGGGCAGGCCCAGCAGGTGGGAGACAAGCTGGCCCCATCCCGCAGTCCTGGGGCCCACGGAACTGGACAAAGTCAGCGAGAAGAGAGGCAGGAGGAAGGTCAGAGGCCGGCCAGCTCCTGGGTCCGGACAGCCTGGTCACTGGGCAGCCCCACCTTGTGCCTGCTTGTGTGGCTCGGTGCCTCTCGGTGTCCCTCTCCCCTCAACCCAAGGGGAGATCACGGGATCGTGCGAGCTCACTGGGCGGCCTGGCTGAAGGAAGAAACTCAGATGGCTCTCACCTCAGCAGCACGGGGAGTCAGATATTTGCACCCAGGCTTCAGAAGAGCAGAAACCTGGAGAGTGGTGTGGGAGACCACAGAGCCAGGACCTGAGAGTGGAGGGACTGGAGAAGGGCGGCCAGTCACCCATTCCCCACAGCGAGAGCGGGCGGGGGTCACTCGGGCGCTCCCACGGGGGCACCCAGTGCTCCTGCGGGCCGGAGAGGGCAGCCGCACTACAGATTAGTTCAGGAATCAGTCAGCAGCAAGAACAATGCCAAATTTACATGCACTGAGTTTTGGGGCACCAACTTCATAGAATAAACACTGCTGGACATAAAAGATCAAATGCATCAACACAATCATAGTGGGGGACCTTGATATCCACTTTCGGAAACCGGTGAACTAAGAAAAAATGAATCAAGAAATATCAGACCTGACTCCCGCCTCGAATGGAGGGATATACAGATGTCTAGAGTGCTCTAGCGCACCACAGCAGAACACATGTTCTCCTCAGGAGCACGCAGAACTTTCTCCCAAACTACCACATTCTACCCTGGACAGCACAAAGGGACGGAAGCCACCCCATGGATTCTCTCCGATCACAGCACACTGAAACCAGACACCAACAGTAAGGAAACCGCAGAAATTCTGCAAACACCTGAGCCAGAGCCCAGCAGGGCTGCTGGCTGGAGAGAAGTGTCCGTGTCACTCACTGCTCTTGGTGATGGGGCTGAGCCTAGGGTCTTACACGTGCAGGGCACGTGCTCTCCCACTGAGCTACAACCCTGCTGTACAGGACATCTGGAAAACACTGCAGCGACCTCTTCTAAAATAGTTGGCAGCCCCACTGCTAGGACTCTGGCCACAGAAATTGCACATCGGGGAGACTGGTCACAGCTGCCAGGCTGCTGCAATCCTGGAACCGGGGGTGGTCAGAGGTACCTGGGAAACTCTTCCATCCTGCACCCCAGACCTAGGAAGCCCGGTCCCTCGGGGAGTGAGCCCCTCACTCCTCTGCTAAGAGAGACCTCTGGGTAAATGCTGCCGCCCTAAGGGCTATGCAGCATCACTGGCTGAACGCCATGACCAGCTCCGGGCCACATTCAACTCTGGTTTTAAATAAGGGCGCTTACTTATCCCAAATAATTGGGACTCTGAAATCTGTAACATAGAGACCCACCCCTTAGAACGCATGATTAATGTGAATTTTTAGGAGTTGGACTGATTCCTCCCTGGTGCCATGAGCACCACGGCTCAAATTTGAAAGGTGCTCTCCACTCTGTGGCACTGCGCCCCCCCAAAGGCCAGTCCAGGAGTCCAAGGAGGAAAGGAAGTGGGGGTGGAACCGCTCACCATTAGCCCTAGCAGAATTTCTGCTTCCTGTTCCTGTGAGCTTGTGCTCCACTGGCCCCAAGTCTTAGCTCCAGAGGGGGAGGCTTGAACCAGCCAGGACAACAGCGATTCCTCCTGGTCACTCCGGGATCCTCATGCTGAGTAAATAAGCTAAAGAGCGGGAACCCAGCTACTACTGCACAGCAGAGAGGGGAGGGTACACGCAGGGTCCAGGGATCCCTCAAATCTCAGCAAGATGGGACACATTGGGAAGCACCAGATACTCGACGGCTCAGCCAGCAGCCGGGCCTCGCTGCAGCACATCAGGGGAGCACTGCAGGGGCTGGAGTCCCCACACAGAGGAGCAACAATGAGGCCCGAGTTAGGGGCAAAAGGAGCAGCTAGCTGTCCCTGGCCTCGGCCTCGGCGTAAACTGGTTAGATGTGGCTGATCAGATTATTTTCCAAACCCTCCCCTAGGACCTTAGGGAACCTCGTGACTCACTGGGGGCAGGCGGCATTCGGGGCCCCTTTCTCCTGCCTCTCCTTCTCCAGGTGCTTCCTGCTCCTCTCTGTCACCAGCTGCTCCCCAGGAATCTCTGGGATCCCCATGTCTGCTGCAAATTTTGCTGCACCTCGGTCAGTCAGAAAGCAGTGTGGGGTCTGAGAAGACAGAAAAGGAAAGATGACAGTTTCCTGGTGAAATTAAATTTTTTTTCTTTTTTTTGAGACAGGGTCTCTGTTTCCCAGGTTGGCGGTGACATTGTGATCCTCCTGCCTCAGCCTCAAGAGCAGCTGGGATTACAGGAATGCACCATTCACTGTGCCTGGTGTGGAAAGAACTGCTTCTCTCTGGGCACAAAGGGACCCAGATGCAAATCCCACTGGCCTGTGTTGCTTCTTTTCCTCCTTCTGCTGGGGATCAGATTAGAGGTTCACCCAGGGGAGGCAGCACTCACTGCGGGGTGCTCCCAGCCTGGCCTGCTTTCTCAACGCTGAAACGGCCAGCTCTCTGAGTTCTTGTTTTCACCAAAGTCCCAAACCGACAGGTCAGTGCTAGGGATGTGACTCACACATGCTCTGAGGCTTAGAAATCTGTTTTTTGGTTTTTTTGGTACCGGGGATCAAACTCCGGTCCTTGCGCTTGTGGAGCAGGTGGCAGAACCACTGAGCTAAATCCCCAGCCCTGAGGCTTAGAAATCTCACTCTGCAGGCAGGAGGGTTGCAAGTTCTAGCTCAGCCTGGGCAGGACCCCTGGTCCCAGATGGACACCTTGGACCCCCCTGCCACACCTTGTCCATGACCAGCCGCGCCAGCTTGATAGGGTTCGAGATGCAGCGCACGGCAGACACGGCCCCTGTGGCCAGGTCTCTGCCATCCATGATGCTGGCATCCATCTCCACCTCTCCATCTTCGGTCAGCACAGAGCCTCGGCCTGCACCAGGAGGAGTTGCAAAGTGGGGCGGGAGAATTCAGAGAAGGCCCGGTGCTCCTCTAACGCAGCCCTGGAGCCCATCCTCTACTCCACTGCACAGGGGCTCTGGAAACTCAGATCTGACGAGGCGCCCTCTTGGCCCAGATGAGGCTGCGCGCTGGGAGCTGGGTCCCCAGGGTGAGAATGGTGGAGGCTGCACTGCTCCAGTGGGGCAGATCCGCTCCAGGAGTGAGCTGCCTCCGGCTGTGCCTGGCTCTCCAGCCACAGGGCCACCTGCAGGAGGCCTCACCTGAGCCCAGCACTGGGCCCACCCGGGAACCTCCACAGTGCTGTGGTCCCTGAACCACTCTGCTTTACCTTGTTTTCTTCCCTTCCCTCCACCCTTCCCGTCCCACATCCCTTCTCTGTTTCTCACGCAGTCTCTGTGGTGCTGGGGAGACGCAGGCCGGGGCACACACTGGGCAAACACTGCAGCAGGGAGCCGCACTCCTGACCCTACTTCTCTAGAAAGCACAGATTCAGGCTGAGACAGCACCCTATGGCTACAAAACAAGCCCTCGGCCTTCGCCGACCTGGCCTCAGATCCCCTCCCGCTCACTGTCTCCTCTCCTGTCCTCAGCTCACCTTACTGAAATGCCTGGGCTCCACTGCCCTGCGCCTCTGCAGGGCACTCTCCTCCCCTCCAGTGCCCATCCCCACTTCTGCCTGGAAAGCACCTGCACGCTCTGGCTCTGGGTTTTAACTTTGTGCCTGGTCCCACTTGGACAGCAGGAGATGTTCACACTGACTTAGTATAGTTCTGGGTGGGGCTGAATACCTGACTGAAGGCAGAAGCCCCCAGGAGCTGTGGGTGGCACCAATCGACAGGCTTGTGTCCTGGGTAGAATATAAGGGGAAAGGGAGGCTGCTGCTGCCTCCTGCCTGCCCTGCCAGGAGCTCTTTCCCCTCTGCGATGCCACCCTGCCTTAGAACCAGCCGACTATGGACTAAAATGTCTACAAACTGAGAGCTGAAATGAGCTTCTCTTTTAATTCCTGGGTTGTGAGTATTTTGACCCAGCAAGGCAAAAGTCACTAGGACAGCTATATCAAGAAATCAAGCAATAACAAAGACTGGTCAAGCTGCAGGGAGTGGGGAACTACAGAGATCAGTATGGAGATTCCTCAAAACTAAAAAGTAAAAATCCCACTCAGCCAGCTATTCCTAGTCCCTTCTAGGTATCTTCCCGACAGTTAAGACATCGTGGTACAGTGATCCACGCACACCTGTGTGTAGCGCAGCACGATTCATGAGCGCTAAATCACGGAAGGTGCCTATCTGTCCATCACAGATTAATGGCTGAAGAAAACGTTGCATCTACACCCACGGAGTGCTATTCTGGTATAAAGGACAAATCTAGGGAGAACAGACGCACCTTGCGACCAGAATGGTAAGTGAAGTAAACCAGACACACAAGCGCGAATATCGCACGGTCTCTCCTGTTTGGGAAGCCCGGAGTGCAAGTGAAAAGCAAGACATTAGACAGATCCGCCAGAGGGAAGGGGTGGAGGGACGCGAGGAGTGAGGCTGCGCTGAGCTGCGCGCGGCTCCTCTCGCCGGGCCCACCTGCGTTGAACTCGGGGTCGTCCTCCAGCGCGGCCACCGCCGCCTCCACCGCGTCCACGGCGCTGCCCCCGGCCCTGAGGACGCCGTGGCCCAGCGAGGCTGCCCGGATCACGCCCTGGCGCACGCGCGGCCGGCGCTCGCACGGGATGCAGCCCGCGCTGCCGCCGTGGACCACGAGCACCGGCTCCATGTCGCCAGGCTGCGAGCGGGCGGGGGGTGAGGTGGGGACGCGCGGCTGCGCCTCCGGCGGGGCCTCAGCCCGGGATCCGACCCGGGACCCCGGCCCCTGGCCCGGAGCGGGCTGCACCCACCAGCCCGGCCGCGTCGCCCCGCACGGCTGGAGCAGGTGTAGGACTTGGCCCGGTCCGCTAACCGCCGCCGCAACCGCCGCCGCCGCCGGCCCTCGCACGCCTGCGCACTACGCGGTCCTGAAAGCCCTGCTGACCACGCCCCCGGCAGGTCGCTTCCCGGGTAGCCCCGCCCCCGGCAGGTCCTGCCTCGCCTCGCAGACCACGCCCCCTGCCCGTCACGCCCAGCGTGGCCCCGCCCCTCTCTGTCCAGGTCCGACCGTTCTGGACCCCGCGGGCCCCGCGGCGCCGTGCTGGTACCGGTGGGCTGCGTGGGGTGGCTGGGTCGGCGGCGCCGGAGGGGACCCGAGTGCGAGGTTTTGCAACCGCACACGGGGGGCGGGGCTGCGTGATGCCCGGTGCAGCCCGCCTCGGGCGTGCGCGTGCGCCCAGCCGCCGCGTACCTGGGCTCGTGTCCTGAGATAGTTGAACAGGTTAGATAGCTTTTTTAAAGCAGCTGTGGTATAGGAAGTACAACAATACATCAAGTAGTTTTTTTGTTTTTGATATTATTATAATTGCTCAGCATGCCTTATACTAGAAAAATAAAGTTTGCTTATTTACTGATTTTTTTAAATTTTAAATTTCAGCACGGCTTCAACATCCTCTCAAAGAAAACAGAACCTTAAAAAAGAAATAGAAAAGAAAAAGTAAAAGATAAATTATGGCCGAAGAAAAATGTTCAACAAAATTGGACAGTTCAGTATTTTTTTTGGTCAAGATGTGTGATAAAGCACTGTGCTTTTTGTAGGGGAATCATGTCAGCTTTTAAAAATTACAACTTGAAAAAAATCATATCCAATACCTTGTTGCCAAATTCGATATCATGGAGTGTTTTGAAAGACAAACATTTTTAAATTTTTTAAAAAAAATTTCAGCTCCAATGGACTCTATATATGGTAACAAATCTTACTGAAAAAGGTCAAAATCATTTAACAATGGTGAATTTACCTCCTTGGGCATCATGTTAAGTTCCCAAAAAAGGAATGTTAAGTGGGTGTATAGTACCCACATTTATGTTTTAGGAGTATTTCTATTGATGAATTATTTATTTTAATTTTATGAGTTATACAATATGTACTTAACAGGAAAATAAAATACCAATAAAATAAAATATTAACATTTTAATATGTAATGAGTGTTTAGAATAAACATCAACATTTTCAACATCCACAGTTTATTTGCTTACAAATCTAAAAAATACAAACAAATTCCTTTGTGAACTACAATGAAAATACAAATATTTTTGTACCACAGAAATAATCTTCACTTCAATTATCACACCTAGGGGATTTTTTTCATATATGAAAACACCATGTTCCACACACAAGTCTCGCTTACACTGATAGCACGTGTGTTCTGCTTTCCTGGCTCTTTTGGCAGGACATACTTGTCACCTGGCCTTCGTGTTTTGTCAGGAGGTTCTCATAGTATTATACGATGTGCACTTAGCTGGAAAATATAATATCAATGAAATAAAAATATAAAATATGTACTGTTTAGAATAAACATCAACATTTTCACCATCAACTGTTTGCTTACAAAATGTAAAAAATAACAGAAATCAATTCCTGTATGACCTACACTGAAAATACAAACACAACTCTACCACAAAAAAAATCTTTCCTTCGATAATCACACCTAAGGCAATTTTCACACATGGAAACAGCATGTTCCACACACAAGTCTCACACTGACAGCACATGTGCTTTGTTTTCCTGTCTTCTCTGGCAGGACGCACTTGACGTCTTGCTGCTCTTCCTGTTGTTCTTAGGCGGACTCCTATGATGTTCACCTGTCTGTTCACTGGTCTCTCCAGAATTCTTCTGTGAAGTTCTTTGGGCAGACACATACTGTTCTCCCTCTGTTGTAATTGGTCACTTATCAATTCCAGTCCCAATCCTCTAAGAGAGTTTCTCCGAGATACTTTGTGCTTGTTATTTTCTTTGTAAACTATGAAACTATTTATGCCTGAAATGTTTAGGATCCAGTAAAACACACCATTGGCCAACGCTTTGTGTTTCAAGTGACATCATAGTTGTTGCATGACTTGTCAGCAATATCTACTCTGCCTTTTGTTTTGTTGTAAAATGTGACCATTTCTGGCTTTGTGTTGAGGATTCACTATCAGTCTTTTGTTGTTTTTTGAGACAGGGTCTTGCTAGATAGTCCAGGGTGGCCTTGAACTCACTCTGTAGGACAGGCTGACCTTGAATTCACAGGCTCCTCCTGCCTCAGCCTCCCAAGTGGTGGGCTCACAGGCGTGTGCCACCAAGCCTGATTTCACTATCACTCTTATCATCATGATGTAATGCTGACAGTAGTGTTGCTTTGTTTTTCTTCACCATATGAGGCCAATGTTGTGTCTTTCTGAAATCCAAAGATTATACTATACATTTCCCTATTGTGAACTTGCAACATTTTTTTTTGGAATCTCTGCTTTGTTCCTGCAAATAGTTGCTGTGCTGATCAACTGATGTTCTTTTAGCAAATGTAATATCAATGTTTAGTGAATCAATTATCAAATGTGACATTTGGGTCACTTTTTGAAATAGGTACAACAAGTCTGTTTACAAAATCATATGGTTTGTTACTGCATGAATGAAGATCTGGTGGCTGAGTTCTAGGATAAATTTCTAAATTCAAGGTGTAAAATGTCTTCGCATCTATCAGGAGATATGTTCTTATATCATATTTGGAAGGTTTGCTTTGTGGGACTGTATGATTCAAAATTCATTTATTCCCCTAGCCTCTGTTATGTTTAAAATTTAATGGTTAGAATGTGCTTGTTAGTCTTGAAATAGTAGATAAAATCTGTAACAAAGCAAAGTTCCTAAGTAAATCATTCAACCCCTTGTTTGTCCGGAGAACGAAAATTCCCAGACCCACTATCGGTAGAACAATCCATCACTGTGCCTGCTGATCATCAGTACGTGACGGTCGTGACCATATGGTCGTGACCATTACTGTGTGTCTGCTGACCGTTAGTACGTGACAGTCGACCACCAACCTTTGTTCCTTTTTTCCCGTAAATCTACATGTTAACCTCCCCCTCAACCCCCTATAAAAATAGCCTCGGACTCTGAGCCAGTTGCCTCTCTTAGCTACTTTGCTTTGGGAGTGCCGTCTGGCCAGACTAATAAAGGTCTGTTTTACTTTCCAACTTGACCGGTGTGTTCCTTCCCGGGTGATCGTCGCTGTAGTCAGCTCCTTGGAGCGTTTGGTAAGGCCCTCAGTCTTACAGCTTGGCATATATTGCCAAAAGCTACAACAACCACAAAATGATGCAAGTTGTTCATCAATTGTCATGTATTTGGACTGTGTATAAATTACATAACAGTTCAAAGCAAAGCTTTCAAAAAATGAATGAATGGCAGCCAAATTCCTGGATGTGTTTCTTTCTTGGTGGTATATATATATTTTTTTTCTTTTTTTTTTTTTGAAACAGGGACTCACTATGTAGCTTAGGCTGGCCTTGAACTCACAGTGATCCTCCTGCCTCAGCCACTCAAGTGCTGGGATATTTTTCTTTCTTGGTGGGTCTTTTTGTTGTCAAAATGTAGGCTACCTAGGCTACTTCTCAGGGACTTGAAGCCCACTTTTCCTGAAAATACTGACTCTTCACGCGGGCCTGCAGATGTGTGATGGGTGACTAGAACAGGATAAAAAGGCTTGGTGTCTTCTGTCTTCACATCTGTCTGTCCTGTTTGCTGCCCTGACCTTTGGTTTGAGTCAGTGCTACTGAGTTCTCCATGTAGATGTGTTCATCATATGAAAAATGCTTTGCCAGAACCATACAAGTTTGACTAGAGCCAGACTTAGCAGTGGTACAGTCAGGTCGAGAGGCCTCTTGCACTCACAGGGCCTTGTGGGAAGTGAGTGGATCGTGGAGGTCCTGTACTCCGCACCGAACCGTCTGCTGGTGGTTCCGCAGCTGAGTGTGCTGTTGGAAGGTGGCCTGGAAGCGTCCACCTCCCTTCCTGGCTCCTTGCTCTGCTTGCTGGCCACCATGAGCTGAGCAGCTTTCCCCGCTCCAGGCCCTTCTGCTATGCTGTTTCTGCCTGATGTGGATGAAAACTTGTGAAGTGTGAGCCAAAATAAACCTCTCTTCCTTTAAGTTGCAGGCGTCAGGTATCCTGTCCCAGCAATGAGGAACGTCTAAGACACCTGATCTTTCCTTTTCTCCTTCAGGACTAAAGACACCAGGAGCCATGACTGTAAACACCAGATCAGAAAGAGTTGGCACCTGAGTTCTTGGGAGACCTCTACCTTTTCCCCAGAAGAACATGAATATTTCCTCCTTCATTTGCTCTTCTCTCTCCCTCATTATTCCTTCCCTGTACCTGGAATTTGATCCGTGAGCATGGATCCTGGTTTTCCATTCTTTGGTCACTGAGTGAAAACTTTCTTTCGCCAGCGCTTGTCTCTCAGACCTTGGCTTTGCTGTAAAGTGAGCTTCTGGACCTATGTGTGGTAACAACATGGCATTACTTGTCTTTCACATGACAAAAAAGCCCTGAATTTATGTCTTTAGCTCCTCCGCCCCCATTAGGCCTCAAAGTGGAGACACCTTTTGGTCCATCTTTTCCTGTTTCAAACTCCTCATTCTCACCCCGTTATCTGCCCTCAGCCTGAACTCTCCTGCCTTCCTGCCTTCCTTCCTCTCTTCCTCCCTCCCTCCTTCCTTCATTTTTCTCAGGCTGGCCTCAAACTTGGGATTCTCCTGTCTCAGCCTCCCAAGTAGCTGGGATTACAGGAATGTGCGGACACACCTGGCCTGACTTATCTTTCGTAATGTATGGCCTCATCTACCCAGTCATCTGAACCAAAAGCCTTAGAGTTATCCATGGATGCTTCATTTTGAACCCCGTCAATGCTGGCATTGTCTTAATTTAAACTTGTACATTGTTGTGCTATTTTCCTACTTTCCAGGAAAGTTATTCCATCCCTGTTTTAATTTATAGACTTTCTTTTTTTTTTGGTACCGGGGATCAAACTTGGGACCTTGTGCTTGCGAGGCAGGCGGCAGAACCACTGAGCTAAATCCCCGGGTCAATTTACAGACTTTCAATCCATGGCCATAAGCCTGGGCACATAAACCAGGCCTGGCCAGCCATAGTATTTCATTTGTGCAGCACTAATAACTTGTTTACCAGATGGCACATGACCCAAGCAAGGTCATTTATGGAACATCCCCGGGCTCTATGATCCTCCTGCCCCAGCCTCCCAAGTAGCTGAGATTACATGCATGTGCCACTGTCCCTACCTCCTCCCTCAATTTTTATGTGGGCTCATTGGGTAGGTCTAAGAACTCAATGCCGAGTGCTGATTAACAAGAGAAAAGGATACAATTTTACTCACTTTACAAGTACATGGGCATTGTAAGCAAGCCATGGCAGTAACACACTTGGCTCTCCACATTGTCAGAATTTACTGGAACACAATAAAATTCATAAGCTACACTGGCTTTCTTAGCCTTGTTAGGCTGAGCACTCAAAGTTCACTTGGTAACCGTGAGCTTGGGGACCTTAGTTATGAATTCCTCGCTGATAATCTGTAACACTGGCGGCCACACCCCAGGTAATAGTGGGTTAGAGAAAGGCGGAGAAGGGTTCACAGGGGCCACGGGATGGGGCGTGCGCGTCGCAGGCGGCTGGATGAGGTCAGGGCCAGGCGGGGCTTCTCCCGAGAGGGCGTGTGCCATTCTCAGGAGTGCGGGGTTGGTTCAAAGCCTGAGTGTGGACAGCAGGCGGCTCGAGTGGGCAGCGTGGAGCAGGGAGACGGAGCTCCGCTGACTGGGGAAGAGGGCTGGAGCTCTCGGCCTGCCGGCCCTGTGCTGCGTTCACTGGGTGCAGCGCCGCTGTGCCCAGTGTTGGGTGCCTCTCCCGTGTACGACCCAGCAAGGTTGCTGGTTCGCTGGGCTGGGGTGTCCAGTAAGCTGCGGCCTGGTTTGGTCTGACATAACTTAGACATGCCGATTTTTTATTAGGAAGATTAATTTATTTATCAATTTATGCCTCAATTGTGCTGTGCAGCTGGGAGTCTTTTTCTGATGTTTGGTGCGTCCAGCACCTGGTGACTGTTGTAGCCGTTTCAGAGAAAAGAATCATGCCATGAAAATGTCCAAATTAAAAGTCCTTGTTAGCCGGCGACCAAGGATGAGCTTGGGCTCCCATCTTCCTTGGTACCAGTCAAGCAGGGAAGCCCAGTTTTTAAAGGGAAAACCACACAATAGAATGTCATGATCTCGTCTTTGAGCAAGCACAGGGTACAGAAGCAAATTGCAAGATAGATTAAAATCCAATATTTGGGATCCAGCAGGAAATTCTTGCCTTTATGGGTAAGGCCACAGTATAACATGTCCTGTCTTTGTTCTTTTTTGTGGTACCAGGGTTCGAACCCAGATCCTTGCGCTTGTGAGACAGGCGGTAGAACCACTGAGCTACATCCCCGGCCCGGCTGTCCTTTGTTCTTAAACACAAGGTAAGCTAGGTGCTGGTTAACTTATCACTTTGAACAAGCAGCAGGAGGAAAGGGCTAAAGTTCTTGTGCAGGCTATTGGGGGTTTCTGGTTAACTCGCTTACTTCAGTGGTGATCGTTTGTACACGAGTCACCAAGTCGTTCTGCCTCAGCACTTGCAGGCAAAGTGGAATAAACTGCTGCCATAAAGTGGGGTTGCTCAGGGCAAGGCACAGCCCTGTTCTGCACGGAGGAATTCACAGCAAGGTCAGGTGCAGCTTGCTCTTCCCAGTAAGGGCTTCCCCAGAGAGGCAGCACGTTCCAGAGAAACGACCAAAAGATACAGCTTTTATATTTCTCAGACGGAGAACCAGGAGTCTGTGAAGGAATGATATTAAAAATAGACTTGTGATCGCTTCTCGGCCTTTTGGCTAAGATCAAGTGTAAAAATAGACTTGTGGCCTAGCTGAGGAAAGGCTAGGGATGTCGCTACGAGAGATGGCCCCTGGGAGACAAAGGTAATCCAGAGTTTGCTTGTTCTGGTTCACTGCGGTCCCCGTCACCAGTCGCTAGTGGTCAGGACTATTTCCCAGCCTTGGCACTGAAGCCACCTGAGTCCTGGTCACATGGCCACTTCTTGAACCAGCTAGTCTTGCCAAACAAATGGAAGGCCTGGCCTGGTGTATGTGCTTAGGTGAGAAGTGATGGCCAGACCGCATCTAGCAGCCACCTGGGGCCACGCGCTGTGTGTTCTCAGAAGCACGAAGTGGACACTATGGACCTTTGCTGGGCATGTTCGGTTTCAGCTGCCAAGCTAAACGGCATCTGGGAAATCTCACCTCAGCACCTGGGCCCAGCCAATCGGCTGAGCTGTGTGGTCAGATGGAAATATCAGCCAATGAATACCCCTTGTTTGCATATGGGTCCTGGATGGGAGTTTTTCCTGTGAGTCCGAGTCCCTCTTTTGTTCCTTCTGTCTTGCGTTCATTTTGTACCAAAGACTGCATCTCCTGGTTTACAAACTGCTATTTCAAACTGTTGAAATAAAGCCTCACTTTTTTTCCCTTAAAGTTTTTTTCCTGGTGAAGCTTGTTGAACAATTTGTGCTTTCTTCTCCTCCGGTTTTCTTTATAAAATACTCTGGCTCCTTAGCTCTGGTGGACATTTTCCCATCCCCTCTAGCCATGTTAGGGAATTTGTCCCAGGACCAGTCCTCTCATTTTTGGCCAGCATTTGTAGTGGCTGCCCATTGGCAAGGAAAAGGATTAAAACCCTTAACAGTGGAACTTCAGCTGCAGCCAACCAACAACAAAAGGGCTCAGTGAAAGGCATCTCGCTCTCAGGCAGTCGTAAGACAGCACCAAAGCTTTTGATGTAAAAGGGCCCATTCATTCCTCCCAGAGAATTGACCCAGTTTCCTAAAAATATGTGTAGATCTCCTTTTCACCTTCTCATCTAAAGCTAGAGGCCAGAGGAAGTCTTGTCAAAACTGCCTCGGTAAGGTAAACGTAATATTAAACACAATACAGGCTCTCCCTGGGGGATCTACAAGGCGTTAAATGATCCAGAAAGGTATCTGCGTGATAATCACATTGTGCTGTCTCAACCCTTTTTCCAGATTCTCCAGCCTTCACAAAAACCCAGTCTTTTGCCTTGGCTGCATGGTTTCTCTCTTGGAAACTCCCTCTGTCCCCCTTGGCAGGATTTGTGACCAAAGTAAACTCTTGTGTTTTCTACATTCCCTGTCTATTGTAAATTCTTTTGCTGCCCAGGTCACCAGCCCTCTGTACCCTGTCTTGCATGGCGGCATCCTTAACAGCTTAGTAAACCCTTTTATTTCAGAGATCTCTTGGTCTTAAAATTTTGATTTACCCACAGCTACCATGAGATCAGTCCTGGAGGATGATGCCCCCAATGCCCAGCACTTCCCAGTCTCTCCTGTAATGAAGAGAGTCGTGCAACGGAGCTCTGTCGAAGCCAATGGGTCTAGACTTCGCTGGCATCACAATCACATGGAGGCAAAGTGCAGATTGCCAGATGCAGCCCCGGCTTCTGTTATTCAGCAGGGAACTCATCCATTCTGAGGTGAGAACTCTCTTCTTCATGGGACCCAAAGTAGCCTAGGAAGTCAGGAAACTTGTGCCCAGTTTAGTTTTCCTCTTTTCATCCAAGTGCCTGATGGATGGCGAATGAGCCTCTTTTGTTTCTTCAGTGCTGAGTGTTAGAGGCTTAATTCAGGGCATCTGTGTGGGTAGGCTGGGAAGGATGGCAACTGTACAGTAATTTACAGGGCTGATGAAGATCTCAAAAAAGGGGCAGCTATTCCAGAAGGTACCTACCATCCAGGTTGCCCTCCCACCTTAGTGTCACCAAGGAAAAACCTGAACAAATCCATCCGCCTCACTAGCTCTAAATTAAAATTTAAAAATGACTGGTTTGGTGGTCATGCAGCTGGGTGCTCCACTGTAGTCTTCGTGCAGAGCAGGCTGTATGCTGCTCCGAGTCACTCACGTCATGCAGAACAGTAGCTCTTGGGCTGTGGCTGCGAGGGACTCCATCCTACCTAGCGACCCTCTGATCCGAGTCACTCCACTGCGACAGTGTTAGCACAGGTTATGTGGCCTGGGGTGGTTCCTATGATGAATGGACAACAGGATGCAGCACATGATGGCAAGGAAACTGGCAAAAGCTGTTAAGGCAAAAGTATACTCAGAATGAAAAGGAAAATGGTGTGAGCACTGAGGTGTAGTAGGGTGTAGGGGTTTAAAAGTCTTTAAGGTGCCTCCTATTGGGGTCCTGCAGAGCATAATAGACAGCACAATGGACAGGGTGCTGAGTTCTGTCTGCTGGGTCTACTGCAAGTGTGCCTCCCCTAATTCACTCTGTTATTACTGTATGTATAAGATGCATACAGTATCCATGTGCATGAACCTTCAGTGAGCTCCAGGGGAAGGAAGATTATTACAGGTCATGCATAGGGGTCCAGGGCGGTCTTGTGTGCCTGAGTCTTGGTTTGGAATTTTCCCAGGCATTCTTGGGGTCTTTGTTTCCTCTATTTCAACCACTATGTGGTAAGTCCTAGGAGAGGGTCAAAGGTTGGCTCTGGGGCATTGCCCATGTTTAGGTGAGTGGAGGCTAGCAGTCCTGAAGCCCTCAGTTGTACGTCTTCGCTATTCCCCCTTGAGAGACCTGGTCTCCACAAGTCTTTAAGGTGTGCTAAGGGTGGACTGTCTGTCTTCTATATCTGCTTCCTCCTGAGTGGAAGTATTAACCCTGCTGGATCCTGCAGGACCAGAGAACAGTATTCCACCACAGAGGATGCATTGACGAGCTCTAGATATGACAGTGGGTTTTGGTTCTTGGCTTGAATCGTCATCTGTAGTTTGACAGCTGTGAAAGAGAAGAACCAAATTGACTAAGAGATTTAAGTGTACTTGCTCTGAAGAATGAGACTATGAGAAGCATTAACAAAGGCTCCACTAAGGGAAGTAGCCGGGATCTTTGGGCCACTTCCAGATCTTTGACCAGGACTCCACGACTCAGACAGTTCCGGTGGATCTTAGAAGCTTGGTCAGCTAGCTGTCCTGCTGTGTCTCTCACTATCCAGACTGACTGATAGAAAGACAACATTCACTGCTCATCACTGCCATAGAGACCATTTCAAGCTACCAAAGTGGATCCCAGGCTGAAGAAAAACAAGAACAGGGCAAAAGAAATCATTCTGTAACTGCGGGCAAGGATCTCAGTGGTGACATCACAGTGTTAGTTGTGACAAGCAAGAGAGCAGAGGAACTAGCCACACCAGACACACAGGGCAAGCCACACTCCCATGGGGCAGATTTTCACTTTCCACTTGGGCGGAGCAAACAAGTCTACTTATCTGACTTAGCAGATTCATTGATGTTTTTCTTCCTAAAAGAAGTCTGAGGGTTCACAGTGTACAGGCTTGGCGGTTTCTTCCCTTCACTTTCTGGTGCCCCAAGCAGTATGGGTTTTACCCTGGACGGGCAAATCCAGTTGTCTGTCTCTTGCCCCAGGACAGTGTGGTTAAGAGGGTTGTGTACGGGCCTTTCCATCTGGGGCGAGTTGGTCCTGGGGCCTCTTGTCTTTCTAGGCCTTGATCAGAACCTGGTTGCCAGGGTGGACCTTGGCTGACAACTGTTAGTCCCTGGTAGTAGAAGCATCTTGTTTCCATGTTCCTGGAGGGCCTGTTGGGAATTTCCCAGATGGATGCTGTGTTGGAGGAGGTAGGAAGTTAGATGTCAGGAATGGTTTCCCACACAGCATTTCGAACAGTTTGGAGATGGTATTTGATTCCCAGAGCTTTGGGAGCTCCCTGTGTAACCTGGGAAGTAAAGAAGGGCCCACTTTTTCTCTGGATAGATCAATGTAGTCTGAAGAGGCATTACTTCCTTGAGAAGGACTCTTACCACCTCCAGGGGTTCATTCTGACATGGCAGGGAAGGCCTCTACCCACCCAGTAAAGATACGTATGCACTACACGCACAGAGGGAAGTGGGTAAAACCTACTGCATTTGCCAATCTTCCCCAGGGGAGGTCCTGCACTGTTGTGTTGGTTCAAGCAGTGGGAATGGATGGGACTGTGGATTGTGGAGGATGCAGATAGGGCAGGCTTTACAGAGATTACAATGTTTTGGACTCTGAGTCCTGTAAAAGGCCTATGTGCTATAGTGATGGTGGCTTCCTAGCCTAGGTGGAAGGCACTGTGGAGGGACTTGATGACTACCATTGTACCCAGTGTGGTAAGAAGAGCTGGGGTCTCATTTATCACCACTGGCCCTTTTGAAATCCTCCCTCATCATAACCCACCCGAAGCTCTTCCCTAGAGCACCCTGATTGCAAGTTGAAGCTTGAGATGGAACCATGGGGAGTTATTGATGGGCCAGGCTATTTGGGAAGGCAGCCTGTTTCATAGCCAAACCTGCCTTTGAATTACCCCGGGTGACTGTGTCCAAGGAGGCTTGATATGCTCAGCAATGGACACCTGCAGCCTCACTTGGGAGACCTACTGTCTCAAGGAGGTTGAGAATTCTGGTTCACCTTGGCAGTGAGTCAAAAGTCAGCTCTTTCTCTGAATGTCAGGGTTCGTGCTTGAGAGCAGAGGCACGCGGTACTTGGAGTCAGTATATATATTGATCCTTGCCTTAGTTACTTTTCTCATTGCTGAGACAAAATACCCGACACCCAGAGTTAGAAGGGGAAAGGTTTATTTGGCTCACGGTTCGTAGAGGTTTCAGTCCTTAATCAGCTGGCTCCAAGGCAGGGTGGCCTGGCAGAGGGGGAACAGTTCATGGCCAGCAAAAGACAGCAAAAGCAAACAAGCAAGGGAAGTTTAACAGCGTCTTTCTGCCCCTTTCACCCCACCCAGACTACCGGCACTAGGACAGCGTCCAACCAATCAGTGCACTGGTTTAGTAATCACGCGCCCTTAGTCCCAGCATCACAGGCTCTAGATTCAGCCACCTCTGAAAAGAACACCCATGAGCGCATGAGGCTTTGGAGGACGTCTAGACCCAAACCATCACAACCGTCTTGCTCCGGGTGAGTTGTAAAGCCCGAGGGAGCGCTCTGAGTTCTGCCTTTAGGCTAAGGCTCCAGGACAGAGTCCTCTCGCTTCAGAGGCCTGGCTTAGGCTGGCTACAGCATACCCCACACTCAGAATGCCATCCTTTACGAAACTGCCTCCATCAGTGAACCGTGTGCTTCCCATCACCAGCAATGACTGGCCCCTCGGGTCCAGGCAAATGGCATGATTTTGGGCAGTAGGTTGGTCGCACTCGTGTTCTACCTGTTGGTTAGTGGGGAGGAGGGGAACTGGGCTTAGAACTGCACAAAACTGAAGCCTGGTGTCTGGGTTTTCAGTAAAGGTGGCCTGGTGTTCAGTGAGCCTTTCCCCAGTCCTCCACAGATGCCCTCTGGATTCTAACAGGGCCTTGACTTGGTGTGGGTTAGAACTGAAAACTTCTGTTCCATGTTATGTCACAGGATTGCTAGACTAAGCGTGCCGCTGCAGCTGTTGCTTTAGGAAGTAGGCCAGCCCTGGTTCTTCTAGGTGACTAGCTGGGTTTCTGGGCACAGATGCTGTGTTAGTACTCTGGTGCTTTTCCCTAATTCTCAGCCACAAAGAGAGAAAAAGGCTTAGTTAGGTTTGTGTTTTTAGTGCCAGAGCCTGCATTAGGGCCCATTTAGGCCCTGAAAGCCCTCCTGAGTGCCCAGTCTATTCTAAGGGTTCAGTTTCTAGTTCTTTAGTTGCCTCATATGAAGGGTTTGGCTACTACTCAAAAATGGGGTGTCCATGTGTAGCAGAAGCCAGCCATTCCCAAGAAAGCCCTCTGCTGCTATGTAGACTCTGGAGGGCCCAGCTGGGAAATTGTCTTTGTTCTCTTTGAGGACAGTTGTCTCTGTTCTGGTGTAAAAATGTGCCCCAAGTAGGTCATTTTTCGTTAAGAAATTTAGGCCCTACATTAGGACACCTTATGTCCCCTCTTTGCTAGGAGACTGAGGGGTTTTAATTAGATAACTCCTTGGTGGGGCTATAAATGAGGAGGTCATCTATGTATCATAATGGGCATCCTTTCTCAACCTTTAGGTCTCTAAGGTCTTGAACCAAGGCTCATGTAAACAGATGGGGGCCATCTCTAAACCCCTGAGGCAGGACAGTGCAAGTGTACTGCTGTGGAGCCCAGTTTGGGAATCCTCTCAATCGAGGGCAAATAAATATTGGGAACTTGGGTCCACAGGGATAGAAAAGAAGGCATCCTTGAGATCAAGGACAAAGAACCAGTTGGTATCTCCCTGGATGTGTTCAAGGATGGTGTGTGGTTTGCCACTGGTGTGTGTATGTGTGTGTGGGGGTGAATAGGCACTGCTGCCTCACAGATGATTCTGAGGTCTTGTACCGGGTGGCATGCTCATGAGGCTTCCACTGCTATAAGATAGGTGTGTTGCACAGGGACTGTCACAGCAAGAGCAACACTGTAGCCAATAATTTATCAGTAATGGGCTTTGGCTCCAGCATACCCTCTCTTCTGAGGGATATTGTCTTTTCCGAGGGTGTAGGTTAGGCTTCTTGAGATGAATGATCACCAGTGTGGCCCCGACAGCCCATTCCAGGGTGTCATCATATCACGCTTGGGCATCAACTCCTACAAAAGAACTTGGCCTGACGGGGCCAGGTTGCCTGGGGCCCCGGCAACTAGGGCGTGCATTGCAAGAGGTTTGAGTGACAGGGTGGCTCTCAGTAGGAGGGGCTTATCTCTTCCGATCCCTGGGGCACTGTGGCATTGCCCCGAAGGCAGCTTGCACAGGGAAATCTCCCAACTGACAGTTTGGAGTGGTTACAAAGAAAATGGCTAGTTAACTCCTTCAAGGACCACAACAGCTGAGTAAAGGGCTGATGATAATATGCCCTGATAGGAGCTTAGGGTCAGGTAAGAAGCCCTATATCCAAAAGAAAAGTAACTTGCTCACCCACAATGTCCAGAGTCATGGATGCCCTTCCAAACTGATGGGATGCCCTTGTGCAGGGGCCACCGGGCCTGTCTCCTGTACCACCAGCCACTATCTGGGCATTCTTCTGGCCACCAGCGTGGTGAGCGACCTTATTCACTTTTGGGAATGAGGACAGTCCCTCCTCCACTGCAAAGGTTCTTGCCGGTATCCAGCCAGGATCAGCAAGTCCTCCGTGGCATTTCGGGCCCTCCTCTGCCCAGAGCCCCAGCTGCCTGTACCTAAGCACACAGACTTGCCTCCACCCCCCTCTGGGTCACCTCGGTACCCCTTAGTGCTGCAGGCTTTGTTATGGCTCTGATCCACGACTTTAGCCTTTTCTCCTTACTCACTTCTGTTTGTCCTCCTCTCAGTCACAGTTGTTACAGACCAGGAAAGCAAAATCAACCAGTGGATTCATCCCCATCTGTGGGCCACTTGGAGTTTTTGGAGCTTCTTCCTAATGTCTGGAGCCAAACTGCTAAGAAAATATTGGCTCAGAATTATGCAGCCTTGTCTAGACTTCGGGTCCAAATTAGTATCAGAGGGTCTTTCTGAGCCATTGTTGAAAAACCACCAAATTTTCATCAGAACCCTGATGGTAGTCCTGTCTGTAATAGTTTATGGGCTTGGGGTGCCCTTATGAATACCAGCCAAGGCCTGGACGTGACACCTGCACTTGAGTCCCCCAGCCCCAGTGTTACAGTTCTGCCCGCGCCCATCCTGGGCCACAAGAGCACGTCAGTTAGCCGATTGCTGTCTGGCAAGGTTGCAAAGGCCTTATCATTGGCCTATCTGGTAGTGTTTAGGGTCCTTTCTCTTTCAGCTGTTGTGCAGTGAGAAACCAGGATAAACTGGACATCTCTCCAGGTCAGACTGAAAGCCGTCTTCACGGTATGGAGCCCAACAACAGACTTCTTAGAGTCCTCAGAGATCATGCCCAGTTTCTCTTTGGACCGTAGGATATCTATTCCTGAAAAGGGAGCTGAACTGGGACAGTTCCACCTGTACCAGCCACTTCTCAAAGGGGTCAGGGGCCGGGGATTTAGCTCAGTGGTTTCGCTGCCTGCTGCACAAGCACAAGGACCTGAGTTTGATTCCCAGTACCAAAAAAAAGGGGTATCAGATGGTGGCAGGCTTAGATGCTGAGTTTCCCGAGTCCAGGGTCTTATGGTACATGGACCTAGATCTTGTGTGGGGTGGGCTCAGGAGGTTGGCTTGATCTCCTTGGGGCACTGACGGCGTGGGGTGGGAAAGAGGTAGCACATTGGAGGGAGGGACTGACAAGAGGAGATCCTAAGCAGTATTGGTTCCCAAAGAGGGATCAGCCCTACAGCAGGGTTGGCAAAGATCAGGCTTTTGTTTCAGGGCCACGGAGTCTTGGATGCAGGGCACCTCCGACCGTGTAAGAGGCATCCAAGTGGGGAGTCGGGGGAATGGAAGAGGCATTCCCTGTGATGGGTTTGTGGGCAGGAGGAGTAAGAGTCGGGTCATGGGAGCCTTACAGATCATCCCCTGGGTTGATCCCTGACCTGTGTGGGCCTGAACATCCCTCAGTAGAGAGGAGCTCCAGATATCTCTGGTTGTATGTGGCACCGGTGCCACCCCCTGTGGGCTTGGGTTTCCCCCTTTCCTCCCCCCTTGGGCCACAGCCCATCTCTTGGATGGGTATCGGGGCTGGGGAGCCAGTGCTGGCTGGAAGCCCTTAGCCAGTTATAAAATCACTCAGCATCATGGAACACCTGTGCTGAGGAGGGGTAGTAAAAGCGAGTTCACTGCCGATGCTGAAAGGGAAATTAGTGCTTCTCCCCTGAAAGGCCTCAAGGAGAGCCTGATAAATTCATTTCACTCCTGCTGGGTGTGGTGGCTCACACTTGTAATCCCAGCGCTCAGGAGCCTAAGGAAAGAGGATCGTGCCCAGCCTGGGCTACACAGGGAGTTCAAGGCCAGCTACACACACTACATAGCAAGAGCTTGTCTCAAAAAAAGTTTTATTTTGTTCCACCTTTAACTTGAAATAGTTTCCTGTGAAGGTGTCCCTTGGGGACCCTGGCTCTGACAGAGGAGAGCAACTTAACAAATGGTCCTCAGTTACGACTCAGGGCAATGAATTCTGATGTTTTGGCTCCAACTATTCTAAGTAGGGCAGCTGGGCTCCCTCACCTGCAGAGCTGATGTACGTCCAATGGGTGAGGAGCCCAGCAGGCAGCAGCCTAGAAGCTGGAATAGGATGAGTCCCTAAGGAAAGAATCTGAAGTGGGGTGACCATCCGGGCCATTTAAGCAGTTGATGCTGCTGCTGGCCTGGGAGAGGGCGGGATCTGGACCCCGATGCTGCCAGTAGCCTAGGCAGGAGCTAGCTTCAGAACATGAGCTCTTGTACATTCCCCCCAACCCTCCCTAGCTTCTCCCTCCACCCCTGTCCCTTGCAGTCCTGATACCTGGCATCGCACAAGATTATAGAGGACATGAGTTTCCTAAGAGACGACAGTTCCACAGAGAAAGAACCATGAGTTCTGAGGAGGGCCCAGGGGCCATGCCCCGTGGTTGTGGAGAGGGGGCACAGGGAGAATGAGAAAGAGGACTGAAAGAGCAGCTTAGAGGTCTCTTTCGGGCCAAAGTGTTTAGGACTTGACGGTGTGTATGTTTTCGGAGATAGCTTCCTCCAGTGTGACCTGGAGACCAGAATTCTCCATGGTGTCTCCATTTTGTCTCCCACACCAGGTGTGTGAGAGAAACTTTGGACACTAGATGGGGCTCTGTCCTCATTTGTGTCTCCCTGGGTGAGCAAACTTTTCAGAGCCCTGGCTAGCCTCAGATGGGGTATGGTGCTGACCTAGAGGAATGCTCAGTGAGGCTGCTGCTCACCCTGGAGGGGCCTCCTGATGCCCCCTCCCGCTTCTGAGTGAATTGCCTCTCGGTCTTACGCACTTTCATACTTAAGCACTCATTTTTCTAGGGGCTCAGGAGACTAGCTGTCAAAAAGGAGTCCCTAAGACGCAGAGGTCTATGAGTTTATGGAAAAGAAGAGGAAGGCCACACAAACAGAACACAGGCCCACATGACGCGTGGGGATGGACACGTGCCCAGTGGCGCCTGGGGAAGCTCTGGCAGGTGACTGGGTTGTCCTCCGTGGGGGTCCTCAAGTGGCGGACGCCCTAACAGCTCAACTGTCTGACCTATGCCTGCCACAAGTGACTAAGGATAAGGAAATGCAAAAGAAAAGACAGAAAAGGAAATAACAGCTCACCAAAGGAGTCTCAACTCTCGGTTGGGCCCCTAAGACATTTCCACGGGTTGTGGGTCTGGGCATGGGTTCCCTGGTCCTTGTGTGGGGTACAAAGATTTGGAAGTAGCTTGTGACGGTAAGGAAATGAGGGCAGAGTGCACTGAGGCCGCGGTAGTCATCGGGTGGACTCAGAGCGGGAGGGCTCGCCCTCAGCCTCACTGCTTCCTGGCTGCCTTGGATGAGCAGCTCCCCTCCGCCATGCCATCTCTGCCTTGGGGCCGGCGACCATGGGCTGAAACCATGAGGCAGAAGGAGCCCCTCTTCCTCGAAGCTGCGGGTGCTGGGTATTTTGTCTCAGCGATGAGAACGTGACCGAGGCTCACAGTGGTGCTGGGCATGGCGATGACGGCGTGTGGGCCACAGCGCACATCCGGCCATGCTGACCGGCACTGCTGAAGCGGGTTTGGGTGGTGCCAAGTGATGCGATGGCCTTCTCCACCAGCTCCTGGCCGCGCCAGCCTTCTGGTCTAGGGGTATTGTCACCTCTGTGTCATCAATAGTCACATCTGAGCTCTAGGAATGTACTTCTCAATAGCAGATGACAGCAAAGCGGAAAGACACGCCTCGCTCACGCCAGCCGACTCCTACCAAGACACAGGCCGATGACACTCACAAATGTCACCAGGAAAGGAACGGGGTGAAAGGACAGCTGGAACTCATGGATCAAGCCAGAAGTTTCTGGAACTGAGCAGGAGGGACAGCACATTGCAGCAGCAGGTCACGCAGCAGCAGTCTGGGGACGAAAGCCTCCCCGAGACCCCAACTCACAGGACAACCAGTGGCCCAGCACCTCAGCTAGCAGCGCCTGGGCCTCCCAGGTTTACAGCGCCACCCTGTCCCTGCATTGCTTCTTGTCAGTCACTCCACACCCGTAGGCCCGGGCAGGGGCTTCTGGCTGGCTGAGCTCAGGCCCAGTGCCCGCACCCCATCACCAGGGGCCTAGGAGGCCCCAGCCAAACTTTTTGTTTCTTGGTGAGTGTTGAAGCCACATGTAAGAAGTGGGCTCAGATGCAGGGCAGCCAGAGACCAGTAAATGCTGCTCCTCTCGCCTGGTCACCTGTCCTAGGATGGTCACACAGAGAAAAGCCAAATCCCAGTAACTTCTCACTCTGCTTTTGCTTTCCTGGGATCTAGAAGCGGGACAAGGCTATGCAGCTGGTGAGGACACGCTGCAGGCGGTTGCTGGGCACGTGTCCAGGTTGCCTGTTCAAAATGGAGCCTTTCCCCTCGTGGCATGGGTCTCAGGAACTGGGGGCCTTAGTCAGGCTTACTGAACTGAGTGCCACGTCGTCAGCAGAAGCTGGTGGCACTGCCGGTGCTGGGGGTCGGGAGCCCAGTCCTGCATATTCTGCAAACTGCTCACCAGCTGAGGAGCCAGGAACTCTGAGCTCCCACCCTGTCCTGCCTCTGCCCTTGGCATGGTTTTGAGCAGATCTTTCCATTTCTGTGACTAAGTTTTCTCACGTGCCCAATGGAGAGAATCATATGGAGTGCAAAGGCCTTTTGTGAGACCCTAATTCATAGTATCTGCAAAGTACTTTCTATTGAGTTAATGGTTTGACCTGAGAAACGGATTAGAAATTATTCAGGAGCAAACAGTGTTTAGAATCTGGCTTTTCCATAGCCAGTAGGTTCCCCTGGCTGTGGACAAGTCTGTCATAAGGGGACGCCCTGGGCTCCATAAAATCCCTGCCGTGGGCAGCCAGTCACGGGCTCGGCTCAGGGAGGCCATTCAGCTCTGGGCCACACCATGTGTGGCTCGGGAGCCAACAGAGCCACTGGTCAGAAATGGAAGCCAGACCTGCAAACTGATTAAAGTTTCCCTCAAGAGGTGAAGAGGCTGATGAACTGCTTTGAAAGCCAGATAAACTGGACTCCTCCCCAGCTGCCCCTCTCCGGGTTAGATGTCTGCTGGACACATCTGAAGGAGTAGGACAGGGCCGGGGATTTAGCTCAGTGGTGCCGCCACCTGCCTCGCAAGCACAAGGTCCCGAGTTTGATTCCCAGTACACACACAACAAAATGATAGAGGACAGAGGGTGGAAGGGAAGAATAAAATATTATGTCAAGCGTCATACTACACACTTCCACTTGCCTTTTCTCTTGGCTCTGAGGGCAGGTGGGTGTTACTGAAAGGGAAAAGTTTTAGATAACTTAATAGACTGAATATTAAGGTAGTTGTAGAAGCAAAATAATGTGTTCTTTTAAGATTTGCTTTTCCCATAACTCCTTGTTTAAGGTGCAGGTTATCTGACTCTTTAAGCAGTAACTTCATTAACCTAACAAAGTTACCGTGCCAGGGTGAATTTACAATGTATATGTGCCTATCTTGTGTCTGTGACTTGTAAATGGGAACTGGAATTGTATTTACACATCAAAGACCACTAGGGATGAGATAATGGCTAAAAAGGATATAAAAAGGGAAACGCTGAACAAAGAGGGTGTGGATACAAACCAGACCTGTTTCTGGTGTTCCTTCCTGCTCATGAGAAGAAATTTTATTATTTTACCCGAATTCTGTGTCTCTGTGTATTTCTTTCCAAGATTTCTGCAACCTTTGGTTCCCTGAC